CGCTCAGCCAGTGAGCGGGAACCGGTCTGTATGTGGGATCTGAACCCTCGGCGGGAGCGCCACTGCGCTCCCAAGCGGCGCACTATAGCAGTGCGCCACCGGGCCGGCCCAGAAGAGATGGTTTTTTAAATAAATGGCGCTGGGTCAGTTGGTATCTACCTGGGGAGGAAAATGCATCATTATGCCTAACTCACACCTTACATAAAAATTAATTCCAGGATAGGTTATAGATCTAAATGTGAAAGGCAAAAATGTATATATATATATAAAGCTTTTAGAAAAAATGTAGGAGAATATCTCAATGATTTCGAGGTGGCAGAGAGTTCTTAAACAGATCACATAAAGCACTGACCATAAAGAAAAAGATTAAGTTTGACTTCAGTAAAATTAAGAACTTTTTAAAATCAAGAGATACCATTAAGTGAGTGAAAAGATAAGCAAGAGTGGGAGAAGATATTTGTGATACCTATATCAACAACAACAACAACAAGAACAACAAAAGACTTGTTTCCAGGGCTTACAAAGAATAAAAATCAGTAAGAAAAATACAGATTCCCAAAATGTACAAAAACTTGAACAGGTGCTGTACCAAAGAGAATATCTAAATATGTAATAAATTTATAATAAATACATAATAAATTTATCCTAACTTCTGTAGTTATCATGGAAACACATATTAAAACCACACTTGGTGTTACAAGGCTGTGCTCTAACCAACTGAGCCAACTGGCCAGCCACTAAAACCACACTTGGAATATAATTAGATGCCCACCAGCATAGTTAGTTTATAAGTGATATGAAGTATAATTGAGGATAACAAGCAAGTGGGACTCTCACACATTGCTGGTGGGAATATAAATTGGTATAAACACTTTGGAAATTGACAGTATTTATGAAAGTTGGATATATGCATACCCTGTGAACCAACAAGACACATATACCACATGTGTATACCCTGCAGAAACTTCAACATCTGAACACCAAAAGACACACAAGTATGTTTTTATAAGCACTTTTTGTTATAGCTCAAAACAGAAAAGGACCCGAATACCTATCAACACTAATTAGATAAATTAGTTGTGGCACATGCATATAATGGTATGCGTTGCGTTACTTTGAGGGCTGGCTAGTTAGCTCAGTTGTTTAGAGTTTGGTGCTGATAACACCAAGGTTAAAGGTTTAGATTCCAATTCTGGCAAGCTGCCAAAGAAAAAAAGAAAATATACTTTGTGACAGCATTATATTAAAATATGTAGTATTAATGAAATATTCTTTTTCTTTCTTTCTTTCTTTCTTTTTTTTTTTTTGGTGGCTGGCCAGTCAGGGATTGAACCCTAGACTTTGGTATTACCAGCACCATACTCAACTATGCTAACCTGCCAGCCTTAATGAAGTATTCTGAAAACTACTTCCTTTTATTTTCTCCTTCTCTTTCCCCTTTCCTTTTTCCTTCCCATTTCCCTTTCCCTCTCATTCCCCTTCACTTTCCCTTGCCATTTCTTCCCACTTAGACATTTGGAAGTTAGCCTCCATTGGAGTACTTTGCATTAAAAAAACAAAAATAAGAAAAACACACAGTTAAAGTTAAAATTTGTTCAGGTGCATCATTGGTAATTCATCAGTTGAAAGCTATTGCTAACTCAGATTCCCAACTAGAAAGTGGATCTCATGCAGACAGTGTAAAATATTATGCAGTCCAGTCATAGGCTTCAGTCGATACAGTTTGATTTGCCATTTTTTCCCTAGGTCTGTCACATAGTTCTGGGGTTAAGACCAGCTACTCCAGAAGAGGAAGGGCAAATTATTAGGTAAGTTTGTAGTTTCAACGTATTTTTCATTTTATAGTTGAAATTTCTAACACCTGAAATATAGTGCTTATTAAGTAACAGCATGTCCCACTTTAATGTAATCATTCCAGTAAAACCCTATTTCTCAAAAATAGTTACATATTAAATTTTTTTGGTGGGGGGTGGCTAGCTCGTATGGGAATCTGAACCCTTGACCTTGGTGTTATCAGCACTATTTTCTCCCAAGGGAGGGTAACTGGTCAGTTCCCTTAAAGTATTTTTAAAGTATCTTCCTAGCCAAGGGACTGGATTAATTTAGAAGTCATATTTTTTTTTTTTTTGTCCTTTTTGAGACCGGCCACACCGCGCTCAGCCAGTGAGCACTGTGAGCGCACCGGTCATCCCTATATAGGATCTGAACCCGCGGTGGGAGCGCTGCTGCACTCCCAGCGCCGCACTTTCCCGAGTGTGCCACGGGCTCGGCCCAGAAGTCATATTCTATTTAGCAGTAAAATTGTACTGAATACTAAATTTAATTTGTAGAAATCAAAAAGACACTTTATAAGATAAAAGGTAGCCATTTTTCTTTAATTCAAAAACAATTCAGGTTTATGTAGAAAAATTTTAAATGGAGCTAAGAAGAAGTGAAAAATAACCACAATCTCTGTATTTACACATAATTGTTATTGACATTTTTATATTCACATACTCACAAGTTATGCCCACAATGACATTTGTAAAATTTTTTAAAAAATGGGAATATTCTGAAATACTGTCTTATTTCCTCTTTCATTTTTATTCTAGGTCACTTGAAGTGATACTTTTATATGTAAAAGCCTTCTTCAGTATAACTTGAAATGATTGGCTAGTAGCCTTATTCGTCTTCTGTTATCTCTATTATTCTTTAGTCTAAGCATATTGGAACAATTGAGTAATAAAGTCTATATGGCTTTGCATAAGGATTTACTTAGGATAAATTACTTAAGGTGAAATATCTGGATTATATAAAAAGGTCTATACATTTTATAGCTATATTTGAATTTTTAATAACCTTGAGTATCTTTCATTGATTTGTGCCATTTGCCATCATACTACATGTTTGTGTAGAAAGTTTCAGAAATAGGACAGAATCTCTACTAAACTTTGCTTTTTAAGTAAACTCTCAGCACCTTGTCATTTGACTTTTTTCTTAAAAGTATTGCATATACAAATTTTTTAGTAGTTTCTTCAGTCTTGGGACTTCTGGATACGGGGCAGTTTACTGAAATAAAGTTGTGTGGCATACCTGAGAACAAGATTACATATTCAGTTTTTTAAGTAGGTTTTTTAAATGGTTATTTCTTAAGAAGATTAAGCAAAATTATTTTTTTAATGTTACTTTCATGTAGTCTTTTTAATTTTCATCCTCAGAAGACTCTGTCCTGTTTATGATTTGCAGATGTTCTTGACAATGTTGTCTTGATTTTCTCTAGTTTTTAGCTATCATAAAATAAAAAATTTAAATATATTGACATGTATAAATGAGCTATTTGTAAGGGAATACTTAAAGGCTTTTATGTAGCTACAGTGGCTTTTTTTTTTTTTACACTATTACAATCTAATGTCATGCTCTAATTATACATAATATAGTAATATGTTCTGAAGTCAGTATGACTTAGCATAGATAGACTCTTTTGTAGCCTGTATTTATATTTCTCAGTTTATTTTGCAACTATTCATAGCTTCACTATTTTTTAAAAATAATACTGATATACTCTTACATTTTTATAGAAATTTATTCTTTGCACAATCTCTCACCAGTCATTGGCTGACCAGTAAGTTAAGTTAACCCCAAGAAAGCCAGGCTTCAAAATAAAAAAAAAAAATTAAAAAAAAGAAAACTGATAAGAAGCTGAGTGTCCTCACACTGCAAGACACTATGCAGGGAGACAGACTCTACAGAATTAGTACCAGAAGTCACAAAATAAAAAACATGGGGGGATCAGAATTCAGAGTTGCTAAAATACATTACCAAATGTGTCCAATTTTCAACAAGAAGAAAATTATAAGACATGGAATAACACAGAAAATCGTGACCCATATAAAGGGAAAAAAACAGTTAATAAAAACTGTATCACAGGTGGCCTCATGTATTGGGTGTTGCACACAAAGACATCAGTGCAGCTATTATAAAAATGTTTTCGAAGAGGTAAGGGAAGCTATGTTTAAAGAACTAAAGGAAAGTATGAACTCAATGAGTTATCAAATAGAAAATATCAACAAAGAGAAATTTTAAGGGAAACAAATAGAAATTCTAGATTTGAAAAGTGCTATGAGTGAAATAAAAATTCACTTATCAGGCTCAGCAGCAGATTTGAGCTGACAGAGAAGTATTCCACAAAACAGAATGTAGACCAATAGAGATTAATCTGAAAGAGAGACAAAGAAGAACAAATAAAAATGCACTGAGCTTTACAGACATTGGAATGCCATCAAGTCTACCAAAATACACAGAATGGAAGTCTCAGATGGAGAAGAGAGAGAGATAGCAGCAGAAAAGCATTTTACAAAATAATGGCTTTAAGTTCCAAAATTTCTTGAAAATATTAGTTTAGGAATTTCAAGTAGGTTAAATATGTGAGATTCACACCTACACCTAAAGACAAAGAAGATCTTGAAAGTTTCAAGAAAAAAATGACTCATCATGGAGAGGGGAACTGCAATATAATTAACAGCTGATTTCCCTTCAGAAATCAAGTAGGTTAAATATGTGAGATTCACACCTACACCTAAAGACAAAGAAGATCTTGAAAGTTTTAAGAAAAAAATGACTCTTCATGGAGAGGGGAACTGCAATATAATTAACAGCTGATTTCCCTTTAGAAACGGTGGAGGCCAGTAGGCAGTGGTATGACTAAATGCCAAAAGGAAACAACTGTCAACCCAGAATTCTTTATCCAGCAGAACTATCATTCAGAAATGCAGGTGAACTAAAGACATGCCAGTATAAACACTGCGAGAATTTCTTGGTGGGAAACCTGTCTTAGAATAAATACTAAAGGAAGTTCTTCATGCTGAAAAGACGTGACACCAGATAGTAATTTGCATCCAAATTTAAAAAAAAATGAAGTAAAGAGTACCAGTAAAGATAATTACATAGGTAATAATAAAAGACAGTATAAATATATTTTTTTCAATTTCTTTTTGCTGGGATGCTTAAGGCATTTTGCATGTTAACTTTCTGGAGGGCTAAAGAACAATAACTTCTGCTTATTATGAGAGTGTTTTCAGAAAGTTAACCAAAGCTTTAGCAGAAAAACGCCCAGGAAAGCTTCACCAGAGAGTCCTTATCCACCATGACAATGCCCTTGCTCATTCCTCTCTCCAAGCAAGGGTAATTTTGTGAGAGTTTTAATGAGAAATTATTAGGCATCCACCTTACAGTCCTGATTTGGCTCCTTTTGACTTCTTTTTGTTTCCTAATCTTACAAAATCTTTAAAGGGCACCAATTTTTCTTCAGTTTGTAATGTAAAAAAGGCTGCATTGACATGGTTAAATTCCTAGGACCCTTGGTTCTTTAGGGATGGACTAAATGGCTGGTATCATTGTTTACAAAAGTGTCTTGAACTTGACGGAGCTATGTTGAGAAATAAAATTTATATTTATATTTTTATATTTTAATTTGATTTTTCAATCAACTTTTGAAGTCCCCTTGTATATACAGTTGTTTCTTTATTTTTTACCCATTCTAAAATCCTCCGAATTTTAAATAGTGTTTAGAAAAAAACCTACATTAAATGCAATGAGCAATTTGAGTACATTTAAGCCTATCATTTTGTGATCTGTTCTATGTTTATACCATGTATTCAGTGTTCCTCATTATCTCTTTTTTCCGTCTGGTCTTCTTTTGAGTTAATTGATGTGGGGTTTTTTTTAGAGATTAACTTTATCCGTAGTATTGTCTTATTGTTTACACTTTTTTGTGTTTATTTTTATCTTAAGTGATGACTCTAAAATTTGCAACAATAGTCTTCAATTTCTTGTCTACTGTTCTTTGTGCTGTTGTCATAGAATTTATTTTTGTTTGTTATAAAGCCCACAATACATTGTTACTACTTTTGCTTTAAACAGACAGCTGTCCCTTAAAAAAATAAAAAATGAAAAAAACGTTTTTCATTCGCCCACATGTTTACTATTTTCACTTCTCTTACATTAAACAAAATATTGGTATAAGGAGAGACATAATAGATCAATCAAATTGCATTGATAGTTCTCAAGGAAGCCCTTATGTTTTTGGTCAATTGATTTTTCTGCCGAGATGACAAGAAAATCAAATAGAGAAAGGATTGCCTTTTTCAACAAATAATGCAGAGGTAATTGGTTGTCCACATGCAAACAGATCAACTTAGATCTCATACTTCACACCATGCTCAAAAGTGTACTTGAAATGGATCCCATAGACCTAAATATAAGAGCTAAAACTTTAATACTTTGGGCTGGCCCGTGGCTCACTCGGGAGAGTGTGGTGCTGATAACACCAAGGCCACGGGTTCGGATCCCATATAGGGATGGCCAATTAGCTCACTGGGTGAGCGTGGTGCTGGCAACACCAAGTCAAGGGTTAAGATCCCCTTACCGGTCTTTAAAAAAAAAAAAAAAAAAAAAAACTTTAATACTTCTAGGGAAAAAGGAGTGTAGAAAAAGTCTTTGTGATTTGGGGTTAAGAGAAGAGTTTTTAAATACAACACCAAAAGCACAATCCATAAATGGAAAGAATGTGATAAATTGTGCTTAGAAAAAATTAAAAACCTTTGAGGTGCAAGAGGCACCATTAAGAAAATGAAAAGCCATGGCCTGGGGGAAAATATTTGCAAGTCATATATCTGATAAAGGACTTGATTCCAGAATATATTAAGGCTATAACAACATATTAAGAAATCAAAAAAATCTAATTTAAAATGTGCAAAAGAGTTGAATGGACATCTCACCAAATATATATGAATGGCTAATAAATGCATGAAAAGATACTCAGCAGCATCTT